CCAGAGGCTGAATCCTAGGCACTCAGGGTGTTGTGTAAACAAGCTTTTATTCACTTATAAGCTGAATAAGGTCCATTCACTTAACCATTGTCTGTAGCAGGTACAGGGGCAGAGTTGAGGGACTGAGACAGACAGAGTATGGCCCACAAAGCCAGAAATATTTACTATCTGGTCCTTTGCAGAAGAATTGTCACACAGTGGTTCTCAACCGTGGCTGCACTGGAGGAATCTCTTGAAGGGCTTTTAAAATGTCTTACAGCCTGGTCCCTACTCCCACCCCTAGACATTTGGATTTAATTGGTCTTGACTGGGGCCAGACACTTTAAAAAAAAAAAGAAAAAAAGCTTCCCAGGGGATTCCCAGAGTTGAGATCCACTGATCATGACCCTGTCTTCCAGCGGCAAGAGTATGACTTGTTTGTTCCCCGTGCTCCTGGGATCTCCCAGAATCCTCCAGCACAAGTCGGTGCCTGGGAAAAAAGTCAGCCTTATCTCCGGTGAGAAAGCGCTGACCCGCCCTGAATTCCTGGCTCAAGCCTGGAGAGGCTTGACCTTATCAGTCCTCAGTCTGGCCTGCATTCTTTCTGAGGCTCTTGGCCCATCCCATAAAGACTATCTGGCCTTCTTTCCCTGATGAGGGTTTCTCATCTCCTGCCTAGCCTGGGATAAGGGCTACCGTCCACCCATTCAGCCCTTCATCTTCCTGCTCATGGGCATGTTGGAGCAGGCAGGGGAAAAATGGCTCACGCAGCATCTTCCCAGGTATTAGTTGGCAGGACTCAACCTCACAGGCTGTCGCCGAGCTCACATGTCCATGAGATCTCCCAGTCTGCCCAAGAGAGGGAATTCTTGGTTTGGATTCGGTGGCCTCTTGTGTTACTTGTATAAGTTGCCTCTGAGTGGGCTCATTTGATTTTTTTTGTCCGTTTGCTTATGGTACCTTTAAGAAAGAGGTCGTGCCCTCTTCATCTGGCCTCGCCTGATTATAGGCATGTCTTGGTCGGCTCTGGTAATTACTGCCTGTCAGCACGGCAACTGTCCAGGCTTGCTGTCCTTTGTGCCCGAGTACTCCTGGGCTCCCTTGAGCAGGTGCCTGCAGTGCTGACTCCTGGAGGTGCGCACCTGGTCCGAAGGCGTAGTCTGCTCACAGGATGTCTTTGGACAAGGACTACCCTCTTTGAAAAGCGTGGCCTCCGCCTGGGGCGATCTTGGGTTCTCATGGTCCAGAGATGTAAGAGGAGATGGAGACAGACACAGATGGACGCATGGATGGACACATTTCCCCCTTTTAATAGCCCATGAAATCGAAATCTGAAGTAATGACTGGGGTCTGCAGCATTCGGAGTGCTAAACACACAGACTGAGTTCACCTCTTGGGCACCGGGGAGCTGGAAGCCCATTTCTTCTTCTGTTGGAAATACTAATCTGACCCACAGGAGCCCATGTTCTTGACAGAAGTCCCTCTTTGACTGATGGCATGATGTAGATCAAATTACTGCCCACTCAGCCTTCGTCTGTAAAAGTAGGGAAACATACTCGTCATCTCTCACATGAGGCAGTGCTCTGTGACAACCTGGACTGATGGGGAGGGAGGTTCAGGAGGGAGGGGACATATGTATGCCTGTGGCCAGTTCATGTTGATGTATGGTGAAAACCATCACAACATTGTAAATATTTTTCAATTAAAAAATATATATATATTTAAAGAAAAGAAAGGCACAATAGGGAAAAAAAGAATAAAATTCTCATTCCAAAGGGGGAAAAAAGAATTTCTGAGAATAGATGAAATTAATATGAAAGTTACATTGTAGTAGCCAGGTATAGTAATTTACACTGCTGAGGTCCAGCTAAGCCTTAACCTTCTTTATATCACCCAAAGCAGTGCTTTACACCTGTGTGGCCTCCTGAAACTGTTTAATAGCTCTGCCCACTCAGACTCTTCAAATCAGAAGGGTGCTTCAGAGGTGAAAGTCTGGTATTTATCCTAAATCTTGAGATTGGAGATGTGTCTCAGCAGAGAGACATTTCTTTTTCTCAATGTTGTGGTGTACGTGCCATTAAAGGGCTTCTTGGGTGATTCAGGAGTAAAGAACTCGCCTGCAAATGCAGGAGACACAGGTCCTATCCCTGGATCGGGAGGATCCCCTGCTGAAGGAAATGGCAACCCACTCCAGTATTCTTGCTGGGAAATCCTATGGGCAGAGGAGCCTGGCGGGCTACAGTCCATGGAGTCACAAAGAGTTAGACACGACTTAGTGACTAATGAACACACCATTAAAAATGGGATCCAGAGTTTTAAGCTTTCCCCTGGATTCTGCAAATGTCTTCCATTAGACTTACTGGCAGACTTCAGGAACTGAGAATCTGTCTTTAAACTTTTGAATTATATTATTAAAAGTTACACCAGTGTTTGTCACTCTCCTTAGCACATTAAGATACAGTGTACTTACTGTCTTAGGTACTTGAGTTGCCTTTTCCCTCATCCTAGTCCTGGATTTGTATAGTTTTAGAGACCATAGCAAAAGTAACATGAATGGTATCCATAAGTAAAACCTTTCATCATTTAGGATGGTTTCATCTATAAGTAACAGAAAAGACAAACTCCCCTGGACCTGAACAGTAAGGCCATCCGTTGTGACCTAGCAGTGTCCAAGGTGGGGGTGGCCTCCCCATTGGTGGACTCGGCAGCTCAGTGATATCATAGTATGTCAGGATCCCCTCTAGGACTGGTCCAGGCTGAGTGTCCTAGGGGAGAGACAGATGCCCGAGAGCCTCAGGACTCTTAGCTATGCGGGAGAACTGGGCGGCAGGTTGCCATGTGTCTATCCATCCGGACCCATCACTCTTGCAGTGTATATGTACTTCAAGTCTCTTCACTAATTTACCCTATGAAATTGCAGACAGAGTTTTAGCAGTGATTTCAGATCATTGTTCCTGATGTTTAACATTGCAGTTAACTTCCCCGGACTTTGGTGGTGGGGTTACTTTCAGTTTGGAATGGAAAAGATCCCAGGTAGTAACTGTTGGCATTGTCTTCCTTGCCTACAACATGACAAGCGGACACACGTGGAAGGAGTCAGGAAGCCCTTCGCTCATTGGCTTGTTATCTGGGCCCCAGTGGAAGTCCCTTCCACTCGGGCCTGGGAAACTTCACATCCCAGGAGTTAAATGTGGAGATTTTGTAGAAATAATTTCTGTCTCTTTAAGATCATTGTTTGAGGTGTTCCTTTCCTTACTGATTTTAAATGAGACCAAAGAGTCAGGCAAAATGGAGGTTCTTGGATTTGGAAATAGATGTTCTTCATCTAAGAAAGAATTCTGTTTTAAAAACATTTTACTCTTGTGTTTTGAGGAGATTAGAATTCTAAGAACATTTGAGGTAAAGTTGACAAATACTTAGCTCCTCCAGGTATTTATTTCCAATAGATTCTAGTAATTTGAAATTCTGACTGATGGGGGCTTCAATAGTAGACGTTCCATAGAACTGTTTTTTTTTTTTTTTTAAGGAGATATCTGGAGAGCTCAGATTAACTTGGGATGTGGTTCTATTTGAGGATATTAAATAATCTTGCCATTTAAATCACTTGATGGCCTTGAGCCATCTTCTCCAGTATTAAATCAGGACATGATTATAAACTAGTTTCTAGATGTTGGCATCTAAGTTACCTGAATGACAGTCTTTTGCACCCAGATCAAAGGAGTTAAAGATTGGATGCTGACATGGAACTGTACTCATTGTCCTGTGGCAGCCTGGATGGGAGGGGGATTTAGGGGAGAATGGATACATGCATATGTGTGGTTGAGTCTCTCTGCTGTGGCCCTGAAACTATCACAACACTGTTAATCAGCTATATCCCAATACAAAATAAAAAGTTTAAAGTTTAAAAAAATGGATGATGGCCTTGCAGATGGCTCTTACGAACAGGTGAAACTAATGAAAATGACCCAGAGGCAGATTCCATAAATGTGGGGCGACTCTCAGATGAAGAAAGAAGAGGAACCTACACAGCTCAGGGAGGGACAGGAAGCAAGTCACTGTAGCTGCAAGGCCTAAGAGAAAGGAGACAGAAGCATGAAGAGAAAGGGATGCAGAGAAGTGGACGGGGTGATAGAAATTAGAAGTGGCTGCATGCTGCTCCAGTTGCTGAGACAGCAGAGAAGGCTTGACTATGCTCAGCATGCAACTGGGTGGCCAAGTGTGTCTCATTCACCCCCAGGTATTGGCCATCTGTAACCACGATGCTGTGTCTGTTACAAGACTTTAAATCATACGTGCTGCACTGCTGAAGAAAGCATTTAGCTATGCGATCTGATTTAGTGGAACATCCATCAAAAACAAACTGCTAGAATAAAAAGTGTGGGTACTTCACTTCGGCTCTTGGGGAGCCAACACCATGAACACGCAAGCCTGCCACATACTGGCATGTGACTAGGAAGTAGACTTTTTCATTTTACAAATCTTTAGGTTTTTTTTTCCTTTTTTATGTCAAAAATCATTCACGTGGAAGCTATAGATATGAAGAGAGTAAATATAAAATCTTTTGCAGTGAGACCATTGAGAAGATCAGTCAGCTTTTGAGTTCTGTCCTTCCAGTGACTTCCATGGTGTGTACATTTTAAAAGGAAGTAAAATGGTTTCATACCATATGTACTGTTTTCACCATAAAGAATAGTTTTCTATACCATAACCATACCTCCCCCACCCCCACCTCCTGTGTATATGTGGTTTTTAAACCTGACAGTTTTGCAGTTGAAGTAAACAGTTTTGATTTACCTATAGCTATATATTTTATTATGTAGAATCAAGAAGAAGGTCATTATGTGAAAAATAAAAATCAAGATTCAAGATAGTGAGATGTACGTTCTTAGGGGTGAGGCCCAACTTGGAAATCTGAGACTGGGAATTCATTACTTAATATAGTGATTTAGAAGTTCCTGTTTATGTGTGTTTGTTTACTTTAAAGGATCCATTATAAAATAAAATGTTTTCCTTCTGTTTAGCCTTCTCTGGATATTCAGCAAATACAAAGTACGACCCATACCAAATTAAGGCAGAGATAGCAAGTCGTCGGGATAGGGTGAGTAAAATGATTGTTTTCACAACTTGAAACCCTGTGTATATTTGTACATAACATCACTTATTATGGTTCATTATATGATGGTCAGTGTGTCTCATATTCATATTTTAGTAAGATTTTCAACTTCATGAATTATTATTACTACATTTGGTTATACTTTCTACTATTTTTTCCAATAGGAGGAGAAAAGCCTCAACCTATCTAACAAAAAAATTGCCTGTATCCCTCCGTGTTTCATGGGGCTAGATTCACCCCCCCATTTGGAAAGATTTGGCAATGTCAGGGCCCAACCTCAGAGGACTGGATGACTCTCAGCAGGTTTAGCATCTGTCTGCTGTTCTTTCCTGGTGGCTGTATTCCCAAAGAAATTGTGCCTGCCATAGCGTTTGACCAGAAGCTTCCGAGGCGCCTTCCCAGTGGTGCCCGGTTCTTTGGGTGCCATCATGTCCCATCCCTTCAGCCTTTGTCATGCGTGTTCTGAAAGGAGGACGGGAGACATCTTGGAGCCCAAGGCTCCGGTCCTGGTGTCTCAGTCCCTAAATCAGAGCATCTCTTTGAGTGCTATGGCTCTCATATTCTAGCACACCCTCAAAAACACTGGGGGCATCAGTTCAAAAGGAAACTCCAGGCCACCCCCTAGTTTTAACACAGACCTGGAGTGAATCCTAGCACCTGTTTTAAATAAGCACTCTCTGTGACTGAGTTCCAGGTACCCAAAGCCATGCTTTGAGCAACAGCGTCTCCTAGGTGGGACTTCAAACAGAAGGGAGGATGAAAAAAAAAAAAAGCATGACAGAGTTTGCTCATTGCATTATGTCAATTAATACCCTGAAAAGAAATTCATTGACTATTCCAGGGTTCCCTGTGGGTAGAAAGCTGTTGGGGATCCAGGCCTTGTGTGCCTCAGTCAGCCGGCTCCTCTGCCAGGGCTGTGTGTTAGGCCTATCGATGGAAGGTCTTGGCAAGAGGGTGACCCAGGGAATTGCAAGCCAATCAGAAACTGAGAGGACAGTGCTAACAACTGCAGAAAAACCATTTTTCACAGCATGCTTTTGGAAAAAAAAAATATGTCATTTGTCTTTAGCTTTCCAGATTAAAACGAGAGCTGACCCAGATGAAGCAAGAACTGCAGTACAAAGAGAAGGGAGTGGAGACCCTGCAAGAGTGAGTGGCCTGTGGTGACGGGGGGAGCATTTCCCTGCTGGTTTCCTGTTGTGCTTACCTCTTCCATGCCGGGACATGTGTCTTAAAGCTTCATGGGTGTTCGCTTTTCTGCTTTTGTTTATGCTCGTTATGTACCAGTCATAAGCATCAGATCTCTTTTCCTTGAAGATACCTTGTTCTTGTTTCCTTGGGAAGAAAGATCTTTAGTGTAATATTTGTGCACATTCTTGATAGCTAGCTGTCTAAAACACAGAAGGCTATTTCCATTTGAATTCCTGTTTGGCTAGTTTTAGTCTCTTCAGTGTTTTAGTTCTAAAATTTAGATTAATTAAAACTAAATAAAGTTAAACTGTTAGTCCCCAGTCTCAGTAGCCACATCTGAAATGCTCAGTAGTCTTGTGTGTCTAGTGCAAATCTTCTCCACCTCAGTGCTCATGACTTTTTGGGCCAGATAGCAGTTTATGGTGGGAGCTGTCCTGTGCACTATAGGATGTTTAACAGCATCCCTGGCCTTGACCTCCTATGTGCCGGTAGCAGCCTCTTACCCAGTTGTGACAGCCAGAAATGTCTCCAGATATTGCCAAGCGTTTCCTGGAGGGCACGTGTGTCCCACATGGAGGACCACTAAGCTAGTGGCGCCTGCATTGGGCAGCACAGATAATAGGCTATTTACATCCTCACAGATGGGTGATCCCCTGGAGAAGGAAATGGCAACCCACTCCAGTATTCTTGCCTGGAGAATGCCATGGATAGCGAGACTGGTGGGCTGTAGTCCATGGGGTCACAAAGAGACACACCAGAGCGACTTATCATATATCTACACAGAACATTCTGTCGGGCAGCCTGATCTATAGGTCATCCTCCTGTTAACATCTTTGCAATTAGAACTCTGTCCCTACTGAGAGTTCAGAGATGAAGTTCTTATTATTTGCGAATTCTATTAAGTGAGCAAATTAAGTGAACAGTAGTTACTGTGTAAATGGTGGTATTGGTGGTCTGCAAGAATTTCTCTAGAAAGGGTTTTGCATGCCTGTTGGTCGTAAGTCTGTTTCCTTTTGATTCAGATCCTGGTTTCACTTGCTGAGCTTGGGCTTGTGCTTCACACCTTCTACACTGACTCTTCTCATGTGGTTGAGTTTGACTGCTGTGACAAAATACTTTAGACTGAGTGACTTAAAGAGCAGACGTTGACCTTTCCTGGTTCCAGAGGCCAGAAGTCCAAGGTCAAGGCACTGGCAAATCCGTTATGAGCCTTTTGACTGTGTCTTGACATGGTGCTGTTGTGTGGTAGGGGCCTCTGGTCTCTGGTGTCTCTTCTCTTTCTTTAAGGACAGTGGTCCCTTCATGGGGCCTCACCCTCATGACTTCATCTAAATCTAATAACCCCCTAAAGGACCCATTTCCAAACAGCATCCCATTGGGGATTAGGATTCACCCTAAGAATTTGAGGGGACGTGAACATTCAGTCCATAGCAGTGACTGTTGGGCTAAATTGTCTGAGGACAGCAACAACGCCTGCTGCAGTCAGCCTTCAGCAAATGACGGGAATCCATGTGGCTATGATTCTTGGTAAACGGGCAATGTACCACTCTCTTGGCATCCTGTGTGTAGACACAGGGACCGTGTGTCAGATGTAGCATTCTTTATAAAGAGGGAACACGGAATGTTAGTGTTTGCCAAAAGTAATGACTGCAGCCTCACATAAAGGGTAATGACTGGGCACATCAAACCCTGTTGTTTAGTATGAGGTAGAGATTCACTTTCTTACTCACCCAGGATTGCTTTGGCTGACGACTTGTTTGCCTGCTTCTTTATTGAGGATGTATTATAGACACCACAGGAGATACCATACAAAGGTGAGCTGGGTCCTGCTTGGAGGGCTTGGCTCTTCTGGCCCTGAGACACTGCCATGTCCCCTGCAGGTCCCCCCGTGGTGGGATTTGGCCGTGTGCTTAGCATGAGCTGCAGGCTTTTAACCTTACAGTCGGCTTTTTGCTTTCTCTGCCACTACCTGCAGCAGTGTGTGTGTGCGCGCGCATGTGCACGTGCGTGTGTGTGAGAAAACCCCTTCCCCTTGGCATTGCTAGGAAGTAACTTCATCTCTTGTAGGCAGTCATTCTTTAAAAGAATATTTACTGATTTTTGGCTGTACTGTCTCTGTTGCTGCGAGGGCTTCTCTTGTGGAGCATGGGCTCTCGCATGTGAGCTTCAGCAGTTGTAGCCCCTGGACTCTGGAGCACAGGCTCAGTAGTTGTGGCATACGGACTCAGCTGTTCCATGGCATGTGGGATCTTCCCGGACGAGGGATCGAACCCATGTCTCCTGCGTTAGCAGGCAGATTCTTTACTTACCTGTGAGCCACCAGGAGAAACCTCAGAATCATTTTAAGACTGGAAAAAGGTGGCTTCAATTTCTCCAGGTTTATGGGACAGGAAGCAGAAGCCGGTACAGGAAGTTGTCAGTTTACACCTGCAGCCAGAGTGGAGTATGAGCCTGCAGAAAGAATGCCAGTGCTGTTTGATCCTCTTTCCGCTTTCCTTTGCAAGCCCCCTTGTGTGGGGTCAGCAATGGTAAACATGGCCCCTGCCAAGGGGATGGGCCTCACTCCGTGGCAGAGCCTATGGGAATACCCACCTTCTCCCATGGAGGCTGAGGGGTGGCCTGAAGGAAAGCTCTGGACCTGGCCTTGGTCTTGGGGTGTCCCAGCCCAGCTTTGCAGATGAAACTGCCTCTCGAAGCAGCTTCTGGTTGGCTGCTGTGTTTTCATTGAGCACGATCACTCTATGCTATGACATGACTTCTCAGGAAGAAGAGAAAACAGGAGTGCTCGTGCCATGCTTATTTGTTAATACAGTGCTGTGCCAGTGAAAAAGTGGCCTTATACCTTCCTCTGAGTTACACAGGCCATGTATAAGATGAAAACAACCTCTTTATTTTTCTGGTATTGAAGACTGGCTCTTGTGTTTGGATCACATCATGCGGATTGGTATGCTTTATTGAGAAATTGGGAAAACCTCAGGTAAGCATCGATAATGTGATTACCCCACCCCTACTGCAAAATCCTGACTCTGAACACAGATAATACATGTACTGTTATATGTCAATGGGCTTCTCAGATATTATTACCAACCTCGACTTAAGGCAGAAACCCTAGATTTCCCTCCAGAAAAGTTTCTGCTGTTCTTGCTTCCCAGAATATCCCATGTATTTTTTTCCAGGGCACCTCACTGAGAGTTTGGCGACTCACAACATTTTAAACTCAACTTGTTTATCTTGGTGAACTTTCCTGGCTAGCAAGGAAATCCATCATTACGCTTGGGTCCAAGTGAGGAAAAAAGAGCCTTTTGTATTTTTTTTTTAAGTCTATGTGCGTTGTTAATTTTTGTAGATGGGAACTGGCCGTGAACACAATCTCTGGGTTAATGATAGAATGTGTGTGTGTGTGTGTGTGTGTGTGTGTGTGTGTACTATATATAAACTTTTAATGATGGAAAATGTCAAACGTACACAAAAGTCAAGAGAATAGTATAAGGGAACCTTCCCGTACCTGTCTCCCCACTTCTACAGCTAACTGCACAATGGCCAGTCTTGTTTTGTCACACAGCTACACAGCCTCATTGCCCAAGCTTTTACCACGTTGTTGAGGCAAATCCCGGAATCGTATTTAGTCCATAAATGTCTCCTAAAGTTACGGACTCCTTTTGAAAACATAACTAATACCTGTGCCACTTAGTAGTAATCTCTTCATGTTGTCCATTCTCCAGCGAGTTTTTCCCCACCTCCCTGGTTTGTTTGGGTCCAGGTTCAGACTAGGTCCACACCGTACGTGTGGTTAGCGTGTCTCTTCATCTCTACCCCCCTCTCCCTTTTTCTTTTTTCCTTCATTTCTTCCTTTTGACAACTTACTTGTTGAAGAAGCTACTCTCCTTGTCCCAAAGAATTGCCCCAATCTTGGATTTTGCTACAGGAATGTTCAGGGCATCATTTCACACGCTCTTCTGTCCCCTGCTCTTTATTTATGTAAACTGGTGTCATTAATCCCACGGGCTTGATCTGACTCAAGTTCCATTGCATTTTCTCTTCTTTTGGAGGTTAAGTATGGTTTGTAGCTGGTGGTGTTACTTTGATCAGGAGGTACACACTCTTTGGTTGCCTCGTGTGTGTGTGTGTGTGTGTGGTGTAAAGATTATAAGTGGGGTCTGACATTGACAGCCTGATACATCCATTTGTGTGTGTGTGTGTGTGTGCACTCAGTTGCTCAGTCATGTCCAACTCTTTGTGATCCCATGAACTGCAGCCCTAATTCTAGGGCACAGGCTAAGTAGTTGTGGCACGTGGAATCTTCCCAGACCAAGGATCGAACCTGTGTCCCTTGCATTAACAGGTAGATTCTTTACCATTGAGCCACCAGAGAAGCCCCCAGAGCCTTCTTATTAACTGCTCTCCAGCGCTCTGCTTCTTACTGTACTATTTTGTGTTTGAAAAAATCTTATTTCTACCACTGCTGTTCAAATTATAGAGGTGGGTGCTCACTAAACGTGCCAGTAACCCCTTTCCTGGAGGCGTGTGCTTATCAGCCCCTGGGTCTGTGCTTCGAGCCTTTTAATTGCTTGATGACTGTCTTCCATCTTGGGATGCCTTGATGGAGTTAAGCCCATGTGTCTCCTTCAGTGACTCAGAGTGACTGCCCTCTGAGGAGTGTTTGTATCATGGTGAGGCAGTGTTAGATCTTGGAATTAGCATTTTCTCTCTGAGGGGATTTACAGATTTCAGGAGAGCATGGGCTTGTCCGCAGTCCACACAGGCTTAGAGCAGGATATCCTGTTACCATAGCTCAGAGGCTCCTCAGATAACAGTAAAACCTACAGAAGTGGGGGCGGAAACAAAAAGAGTGTTGTTCCCAGTCGTGGGATGGATCTGGTGTTCCACATGGGACTGACGGCTGATAGAAGCTGCCAGAAGCTCTTTAGGATTCTGGTTCGTTCAAGGCCGTCTGCCAGCACCAGTGATATAAAAGGTAGAGTCGTAACAAGACTCCACCTTCTTGGGGGTTGTAACATGTGCTATTAACGTGGATGACCTTTCAAGACCTGGCGGCCCTTTCCTCCAAGATGTGGGTTGAAGAATTCGTCCAGTTTGATTTTTGCCAGTGCAGTTCTCTTGACATCTTAAGTTGAACAAGAAATACGGACGCTTGAGGGCAGGGGGAGGTTGATGAGAAACGCCTCAAAAATGCCTTCTCGGCAGTGTGCCATCAGTGTTTGCTGCCGCGCCTTTTCTCTGACTTCCCCGGTGGCTCAGACAGTAAAGAATCTGCCCGCAAAGCGGGAGACCTGGGTTCAATCCCTGGGTCGGGAAGATCCCCTGGAGGAGGGCATGGCAACCTACTCCAGTATTCTTGCCTGGAGAATCCCCTTGGACAGAGGAGCCTGGCGGGCTACGGTCCATGGGGTCACAAAGAGTCAGATGCGACTGAGTGACTAACACTTTCAACGCGCTTCTTGTCTCACTAACAGTTTCTTTCAAAGGCAGGCTGTAAAGAGTGTCAGTCTGCTTTCGTCCGCCATCTGACTGTGTGGACAGTCCTCAGATTTGATATGGTGTCACTTTGGAGGCCTTGAGCTTGAGTGTGTTGCTAGCCTGGTGACAGAAGAGGCTGAGTGTGGCGTGAAGGGCCTCAGTGTGGACTTCGCTGTGTGACCATGAGCAAGTCATTCAGCCTTCCTGGTTGAATGTTGAGTGAAAAGTAAAGGCTGCGTTTTAGAGGGAATTTGAAAACTCCCAAATAAACGAATTTTGCAGATGTGATATAAAAGAGAGTTCCTGTCCTTTGAGGTTTTTGTTAGATGAAAATTGATCACAGTTGACAGATGGAAGTGGTTAGAGTTCTGTGGAGCCTGCTTCTTCCCCTTACCAAAGCATATGGACCCTACCCTGGCCACCCTGAGCAGGAGTGTACCAGCGGGTATCAGGGGCCATTAGCTGCACCAAGTTTTTCCATAGAACAGCTAAAATGGAAAAACTCCAATTTGGACTTGAGAGCTGGGAGATGTGGGTTTCAGTTGTGGGTCTGCCAGATCTTAGCTTGTCCTCTTGGGCCCCTTAGTCTCTCTGGGCCTCAATTTTTGCATCACAAAGTCTGGGAAGATTATGCTTATCTCATAAACCTGTTCAGGGGATTAAATGAGGTGAGACATAAAGCATGCAGCAAGACAGTCACCTAGTAGGTGTTTGATACGTGAACTATTGTAATATGCTATTTATATACTTATCTAATTTAATCAAACACATACTTATATAATTCAAACAAATAGATACTTGTATAATTTAATCAGGGACTTCCCAGGTAGTAAAGAAGTGGTAAAGAATTCTCCTGCCAGTGAAGGAGATGTTAAGAGACATGGGTTCGATTCCTAGGTCAGGAAGATCACCTGGAGGAGGACACGGCAACCCATTCCAGTATTCTTGGCTGGAGAATCCCATGGACAGGGGAGTCTGGAAGGTGATAGTCCATAGGGTCGCATAGAGTCAGACCCAGCTGAAGTGACTCAGCATGCATGCATGCATAATTTAATCAAATGCATATAATTTAATCAGATCAAATATAAAATGTCTCTGTAAGGTTATACTCACATAATAGTATCATTTCACATAATTGCATATTCTATAATAATTCGTAACTTTTTAAACAGTTACATTTCAGAGATTCCTAGAACTTTGAGATCATCTTTTCTAAGAGCCTGCACACTTTTTTGTTAAAACTTGTGCAATCTTTTCCCCTATCCTTCCCCTCCAATGACATCTTCTATGGAAGCAGACTGTCTGAGATGGAACAAGGGAAGGGCTTGCCGAACAGTGAGGGGCCCCAACTTGTGGGTGGGCTCTCCCTTCAGCGACCCCAGCTCACCAGGCTGGGACAGCCTTGGGACAGAGTGAAAACAGCTGCTCTCGGTCAGTCTTCTTTCCTTTTTGAGGTCTCAGAGCTCCTTGGGTGGAGCTAAGGTCAGGGCTGAGGCCTGCTGCCTTGAAGTTGAACTTTTGTTCTTGGAGGGGGAGGGTCGGGGGGCTCTGTGGCATCTGCTGGTGAGATGTATTACAGGGTTTGCTGTTCTCTCTCCCTGGTGGGAACTAGGGCCTGTTTTCCTCCAAGCCATCAGCTGATGGTGCCTTAGATGGCTGGCTCTGTCCCCGGCTTTACTGATAGCTGCACTTAGGCTTTGTTGCTGTTGAAAGCCATAAAGAAATCACAACGCCCAAGAATGAAGCTGGAGCCGATGGGGTTAGCATCTCACATTGTGGCCTTAACAGCGACTGTATGTCTGTACTCTGTGACCATTCGATGAACATTGACTTCTAAGCAGTTGAGAACATTTTGTGTGTTGCATTCAAGTTTCATTTCTCTATAGGAGTGTCGGTGTCAGGTAATGATCCCTTTGCTGTATGTAGTTTTCTTTCTAGAGGAGTCAGTACATTTGTAGTAGCAAGGGCCTTAGTCATTAACTGTTAAGGAGAAATCACACTTTTCTGGCCTTGGGTTTTCTGTGTTTAAATGATGTCACCCTTTTCTACAGACTTCATCAGCCTATGTCTGTTGTGATTTGTGACATTAAATGAGATATATTGGAGAGCCTTTTATCATAAGATGGATATCAGGAGACATTATGATGTAAATGAGTCTAACTTCTCTCTGCAAGAAAAGTTGAGCCACTTCCTTGGCAGATGTAGTGATGGGAGATGGATGGCCTTTGTGTCTGCCTTGCATCAGAGACTCTTGATTCTCCATAGAACAGCTAAAATGGAAAAACACGTGGCCAGGCCACATTGGGATGCAGGGATAGAATGAAGGAAGGATGAATGGATGTTTGAATGGAACGGGAGTACTAGAGAGGGAGTAATAAATTAGAACCAGGATAAAGGAACAAAAGATAGAGGAGCCATAAGACTTCCCAAGTTTTGTGCAGGGCATCACTATTGAAACTTCACTACTTTTTGCTGTTTCCCATATATTCTTGTACACAGATTTCATTGGTATGTTTACTTAATAGACATTTTGGACTACTAACTGAGATGCTGGGGATAAACGAATAAGACATGATCCTGCTCTCAGAGAGGGAAGTTTAAAATCTTTGGAAATGATTAGGAATCTTGCCTGTCATGTCCCTGCCTATAGAAGATGCTCTTGGAGCAGAGGGAAGCATCCACCACCAGTCTTATCTCCTTGTATTCACCAAGAACAAGGAAGGGCTTATGGGATCTTTTTTTTTCCTTTGCCAAAACATTGCTTTTTAGCTGTTCCCCACCCTTCTATGAAGTTTCGAAGTTCTGGATTATTACTGTTTAAGGGGATGTTACACTCTTGCACAGGATGACTCTTTTATTTCTTTTTGAACCAGGATTGATCGCAAGATGTCTAATGCTCATACCAACTACAAACTGGATGAGGCACAGGCTATAATGAGTGAGCTTAGGACCATCAAGAAAGCCATTTATACAGGCGAGAAGGAAAGGCGGGACCTGATGCAAGTAAGAAGCTGGGGAGCTCTTCAGAGCCCACATCTGTCTCTCTGCCCTCCTGCGTGTCGTTCCTTTATTTATTTATTTCCCTTTTTTAAGCATGTTCATAATGCCAGGGTTATCTAACTATCCTTTATTTAAACATTTAAAATATATATACGTATTTATATTATATCGTTATTATATAATCATGCAAATTTTAAACACATACATGTTTGTACAATAAATATGTCTATTTGATATCCTCTATATATAAATATTTTAAAATGTGCATGTTAGTTTCCTAGGGTTGCCATGACAAAGAACCACATACCAGGTGGCTTAGAACAACAGGAGTTTATTCTCTCCAAGTCTGGAGGACGAGAGTCTGATGTCAAGGTGCGGCAGGGCCACGGTCTGTCTGAAGGCTTTGGGGGAGGTCCTTCCTTGCCTCTTCCAGCCTCTGGGGGCTGCTGGCAGTCCTTGGTGTTCCTCAGCTTATAGTTGCATCACTCTAGTCTCTGCCTTTGTGATCACATCTCTGCATATAAATTTTTTCTTCTTATAAGGACACCAATCATTGGATTAGAACCTGTTCTCATCTTAATTCGATTTCCTCTGCAGACTTTTTCTTCCAAATAAGCACGTATTCCCAGGTTCTGGGAGTTAGGACTGAAGCATCTTCTTGCAGGACACAATTCAGGCTACAGTAAGGGGTGACACATTAATATCATTTAATAACCAAAGTAATTTTAAAAGTGTATCATAAGAGTCTTGCTGTCACCCCATTTTCTCACCTCCTATAACTACTGTTATGACCTTCTTGTGTGTCCTGCTAGTGTTTATACAAACACGTGATGGTGTGGCCTGTAGCTCTGTATGGCTGCATAGTATTCCACCATGAGGATAGACTTTATACTGGTTTATTTTTTTGCCACTTGAACTCCTGTAGCTTCTGTTATTTTTAGAAAAAACTGAGTTTTTGCCAAGGGACGCATGCCGGGCTCTTGCTCCATACCGGAATGCATTTGATGCTCTCTGTCATGGCTTTTCTTCCAACTCAGTTCACTGAGTCGGCACCTGGCACTGGTAGGCGTTTGTCTCAATTCTGCAGCATGTAAAACACACAAGGACATGGGAGCAAAGCTTACCTTCTTAGGCCAAGTGCAACAGGTGCGCACACGACCGCCTTGCATGGCAGTGCTTCCTAATGTCAAGGATGTGACGCTGGAGTGTCCCCAGGGTGCTTGTTCAATTGCATATTACCAGGCCACACCCCAGAACTCCTAGATTAGACTCTCTGGGGGTGGGATACAGAAATCTGTATTTTCAGATGCCCTGTAGTTCCGGGTCATGAGAGGTATATGACACCCATTTGCCTCGAGTGGGTTCCCCACCATGGAGGCTGGAGATAGAATTTCTGGAAGAAGCCTCAGACCCCAGCATCTTTTCTGAGACACTCCAGGGAGACACACAAGCAGTGTCTTCATCTAGTAAAATCAAATAAGTTGTTTCGTCTTTCTAATACAAAGAGAACAGTCTTGGCCCATCCCAAGACACCTTTGTCTAGATCCAGAGGCACCTGACTGGGGGTCTACTGCACCTGGGCATCTCGTGTCTGCAGTCTATTAAAAATCTTAAAAAATCTGGTTTCTTTTGAACTTTCACCCGAAGGGGGTTCCAGGTACCAGAATTTATACTTACTCTAATCTTTGGCCTACTGACATCCATATAAGATGACTTTGACCCTGTAGAATTATGACTGAAAAAATTTTGCTTATAAGAATATGTGAGCATAGTCTGGGAGTTTTTTTTCACCTTCTGTGTGGTTTTGAAGATCTCCAGGTAGCATTCCTCTCTGATGGAATTATTTATTGAAGGAACATTTCAGATGGGAATGCTATTTCCCCTCCCCTTCACTCTACTAAGGTACAGTTGACAAATAAAATTTTATAAATTTAAGGTGTACGTGCTGGTTTGACAGACACATCTATTGTGAAATGATTACCACCATAAAATGAGTTCGCACATCTGTCACCTCACATGGGTACCTTGATTTTTCTGTGCTAAGGACTTCTAAGCTCTACTCTTAGCAACTTTCAGACCTTCACTCCAGTATTGCTAGCTGTACTTACTGTGCTGTGGACCTAAGATCCGGGACTTATTCCTCCTGCTTTCCTGGTGGCTCAGACGGTAAAGAATCCACCTGCCAGTGCAAGAGACGCGAGTTCAATCCCTGGGTCAGGAGGATTCCCTGGAGGAGGGCATGGCAACCCACTCCAGTGTTCTCACCTGGGAAATCCATGAACAGAGCAGCCTGGTGGGCTACAGTCCATGGGATCACAAAGAGATGCAACTGAGCACACAGGCACGCACATTCCCCTTAAAGCATGGGACTTTGGACCCTTTGACCAGCATCTCTTCATTGCCTGGAGCCCTCCAGCCCCTGTCAACTGCCTTTCTACTCCGTATATTTTTGGATTTTTTGGAGGGAAGGCTAATTTTTTCTTTAGGAAACACAAAGGTTAAAAAAAAAAAAAGTAAAAATGGTCCCTCAGTGTTCTCTGTATTATTCCCATGCTGCCAGGAGGACTCAGTTGCCATCTGACTTAAATCACTACAAGTTTCATGAAAGGTGCATGTGCTGATCAACATTTCTTTGGAATCTCATGAGAATGGGGTTGGGGTGGGCCTGCTCTCCAGGAATGAGGCTGCCAACTTGGAATGGGAAGGAAATGACTGCTTGGAAAGGGAAGAGATGCATTGCCATGGCTGTTCAAGTCGCTTGTTCCCTTCTGTTCTAGAGCCTGGCCAAGCTGACTGATGGCTTCAGGAATAGCTGTTCTCTTACCGACCCTCTGCAGGAGTTCCCTCCCGGCGCAGGCGCACTGGGCGAGTCTTTATCTCACCAGTTTTGCGATGCTGGCTCTCAGACTGACATCATAGGCGAGGTATGCTCACCAGGCAGTGGGGGGGCGGGGGGCGGAAAACCGAAGATGCCCAGAGAGACAACAAAACGGCTGCTTTCATGTGGCCGTCACCCATTTGTTTATATTTTCCACTTTCCCTTCAAAAGGGTTTTGGCTTTTGTGCCATTAAGTTTGAAGAAAGAATATGTTTTTTTTTAACATCCAGGCATCTTGAAGGTTCAGAGGGGCCTGGGAGGCAATTGAATGGCTTATTACCTTTCTTTTCATAAATTAGATTTTTTTAAAAGGCAGAATCCTTTTGAGAGTTGAGTTCAGCTGTTTTTTTGACAGATGTAGGACTCTTTACAGCATGGATCAGCTAACTTTTTCTGCCAAGGTCCCGATAATAAGTGTTTTAGACTTTGCCGGCTGTGCAGTCTCTGCCATAGTCATCTGTGAATGGGTGGGTGGGGCTTGTTCCAGTAAAACTGTATTTACATAAAGAGGTGGTGGGCCACATTCATCCTTTGGGTGGTAGTTCTCTGAGCTCTGGCTTAGACCAGTGATTTTCAGCAGCTTTGTGGCTGTGTCACCCTTGGGTTATACTTTGATGCTATTTCTTATTCTAAGAGAATGTCAGGAAATTGAATTGGAATTAATTTTGTTTGGGACTTGGAAAAATTTCATAATGCCCCTTTTGATAATTAGTGAAGCCTTGAGTTAGCCAGCAAAGCAGAATTGGCAGCCATCATGTGAAGTACGGCAGTGAATACTTAGACACTACTGTTGTACTGCCATTGAATGAAGTTTTACATTCATTTGTTACAAATGGAAAACCAATTTGTATGGCTTCTTTTTCTTAGGTCTCACTAAGTAAAGTTGAAATATCAATGAAATGCAGAATGCCCTCCTAAAAGTAAATAAATAAAAAGAAACAAAAAGAAGGGAAAACCATTGACTAAAAAACTGTGGGTTTTAAATAATTAACTAATATTTTAAAATGTCAACAAATAGTGCCTCTTTGAGGGGAATATCATATAGGAAATAATGCCTCTGTGTCCTGGATGTCCTGAACTGCCTATTTGCAGTGTTCCCCTCATTGTTCTCAGAAGTACACTTGGACATTTTTTGACCAGGTTTAAGACAGAGAAGAATCTGTAAGTCAAAACTGTCTGGCATTTTTGCCTAAAGATTTTGGTATGAGAAAAGGAAAAGAAGTACAATGTGTATTGAATTCCATGAATAACTCATTGCTGCTTAATATAAGGTTAGAATTAGAATTTTTATAGGCTCTTACCTTGTTTGAGAGAAACAGGTAAGATTGAAGGTTCTGTAATGATTTAGGTAAGACTTTCTAAAAAACATCAGGTGGGGAGTGGCTGGTTGTGCTACTATAATAACTTGAGCAGTAAATTGTCATTATTTATGAGTTTACTGAGGCTGGCCCTGAGTTGGCAGCTTCATGACTGTTACTTCGATTTAAGTCATCATTTCTATCCTCTTTTGTCAGCTGAGGGGGTCCAGGTGCCAGGTTACCTAAGGTTATATAGCCAGGGAGAGGCAGATCTGGGTTTGAATCAGCAACTCTGATCCCTAAACCCCTGTGCTTTCTACTACATCTTGTTATTGAAAAATATATCAAAAGACTTTAACTGTATTAGTTAGTTATTGCTGCATAACAAAACACTCCTGAAACCTAGCATTTGAAAACAGCATACATTTATTATCTTACACTTCTACTGTGGATCAGGAAACTGTGCTGTATCTTCTGCTTCGGGGGCTCTCAGGAAACTGTAATCAAGGTATTAGCTAGGGTTGCAGTCTCATCAGAAAGCTTGATTGGGAAGGGTTCACTTCCAGGCTTAAATGATTGTTGGCAGGATTCAGTTCGTCACAGATTGTTGGACTGAGAGCTTCTATTTCTTACTGTATGAACCTCTCCAGAATGGCAGCTTGCTTCGTCACAGCATGCATGTACTACACAAGTTGGGATGAATTTTTTTGCTTTTGCATCAACTTTGAGGAATTCTCTATTTCTTTTCAAACTTAATTTGCTGTTGGGAATTACAAAATAGACAAGCGTACTTCCACTATTTAAAAAAAAAATCCACCAGTGTTGGAACAACCGAAGTCTTACCAGTCCCATTCCCAACTTCCGATGACCAGAGGTGGCAGCTGTTATTGGTGTGTTTCCTTCTAGACTTTTGAAAAATGGAAGTTGGAAGGTGAATTAAAATATTCTTCATTGCTGCTGGAGGTTTAGATGAATTTTCTCTTTTGAAAATGGGTTTTTAACATGTCTCTCCCCCCCCCCCCCCGTTTATCTTCTTTCTGTTCCAAAAAGTTCGTCTTTGATGATAAAACAAGGCTTGTGGATCGAGTCAGGCTTAACTGGCAGTATGAGGAAGCCAGAAAGAGGTAAGAAGCTCCTTTTTCAAACTTTGCCTTCTCCTTATTTCCTTTCTCCTGTGGGAAGAGGTTTTATGGAGTTTCAATGTGTGATTTATCCACATCTTACCAGAAAGCAATGTCTGATAGAGTATAGAATTACGGTTTATGTGTAGCTTCTGAACACATGTGACAAAATTTCACATGCATTTAAAATGGGAACTTCTGAATATTGCAAACAGTTATAAAGACAGGATTTAATAAAAATAGAGACTTTGGGCTCTCTCTATCCTCTCAGGGAATTCAGAACTCCCTCCTTCCCTGCCTTCTAACTGAGCATCAGTCCCTCAGACCAGCTTAAGCATAACTTTTTTTTTTTAATATATGTGGCATCTCATTCCATAGATTAACATCTAAAGCCATGTATCTTGGTTTCAAAGACAGTTTAATAAGGGTTAGGTCAATGAGTGACAGCAGTACCTGATCTGTGTCATTCTGATGGAGAGAACTGAAACACAATCGTATCTGTTAACCTGTGCTGTAGGTTACCTGCCTTCTGCAAATTGAGACTTGACCTTGTTCGTGTGTTTCAAAATGTATCTCTCCCTCCTCCTTCCCTCTGCCCCTCCCTCGGTCTTGGTCTCAGCCAGGGTTCAGGGGCAGCACCACCAGGTGGGCTGTCACCCTTGCAGGCAGTGTTTTGTTTAAATTTGTTTTATTGGGCTGTGTTGGGTCTTAGTGGCAGTGCACAGGCTTCTCTCTAGTTGTGGCGCATGGACTCAGTAGTTACGGTCCATGGGCTTAGTGACTCTCTTGTACCTTCTGAAAAGAGTCTTAAATCCAAGCTATTCCAAAATCTGGGCTTCGGAGAGCCATGGTGCCTATCTTTTTCAAGAAGTTTCTTTAGTCACATATGAACTTCTCTCCAGGGAGTGGAGAAAGAGGAGCGAATGCCAAGCAGGTCAAGGGCGTCCATTCTGGAAGCTAAATAGTTGGGTTTGCTCGGTATACTGTATCATTCAGGGATGTCTGGAAATCCGCTTCATGGCCTTTTTAGCAAATGTAAAAATAGCCTCCAAAGCGGATCATCTGACTCCCCCTGGAGGGCTGGCTGGAGATGACCCAGCCTCCACTCAGAGCCCCTCTGCCCGATCCTCCTGGCTCTTGCTCTGCAGGATGCAGTGATATGCTCGAAGAGGGCACTACACTTCCCCGTGGACCACTTCCCTGGCCTCAGGCAGCTGCACTGTGGAGCTTACTGGTGGCATTTGTCAGACGTTGTCTCAATATTGAGAACATTGTCTCAGTAGTCCTCTGCTCCGTGCATGTTTCTGCTGCACCGTGTGGGTGTTGGAATTTGCTGTGTTGTATTAAGCCACAGAAACTTGATGGGTGCTGCACTTAACGTAATTGTTACTGTTTGGCTGTGACATTTACCAGCCATAGCAAGGGATATTTCGGTTTTCTAGAGATGATGTTGGTACAGAGTGAGTAATCTTTTAAATATCGAGATAATAACATTTGGGCGGAAAGACCAGGATTTAAGAGCATTCTTCAGGGGAGGACACTTCAGAGGGGACATTCTTCAGGATACTGATGGAGTTCCCTTTCATCAGTATCTTTTAAAGGGGAGGAGTATCTCAGGTTCACCAGAACCTTGTTAGGAAAGGCACCGCGGTTGCAGAGGAAGGTCCTGTCCCCAGTGCCTCGACCTTTGTAGGAACGTAGGGGCTTTTCCAAAATGCCTTTCTGAGCTGCCTTGGCCACATTTAGAGATCTGAGATCCGTTGTAAGGACATGCCAGGTTGGCTCACAATTGTTCTTTCCCCACTAGGACAGTGGTTCCCACTGGGTCAGGGAGTGAGGGAGGGGTGCAGTGGTGGGACCCCCCTACCCCCGGTGGGCTTCTGGCCACATTTACAGATGTCAGTAGTTGTCATAGCTCTAGGGGAGGCACCAATGGCATCAAGTGGGGAGAGACCAGAGGACCCTCCAGCCCCCATGTCACTAGTGCTGGAGGATTGTGCTGTCACAGCAGGCCCACATCTGCCTCATTTCCATATGGGTGACCCCAGCAGCTTCCTTCGCAGCCATGGGCAGAGAAGCTGCCAGGGGCGGGGGGGCGAGGAGACTACTTCTGAACAGCACCCGCCCTGTTCACAGAAGTGGCATGGTTTATGTGAGGCCATATAAACTCCCCCACAGCTAACAGACATTGTGAGGACCTCAGTGAGTCTGCCTGGGGGTGGAGATAACCCCAGATAGAACCTGTGGCGTGTGCACCTGCGTGCATGCACACTGCATATATGTATAGACACACAGGGTTAAGAAGCATGTACAAGTCTGCTTGTATGTCTATGTACACATGTAACACATGTATGCTTGCATTTATTTGTGCATATATATATAGAGAGAGCTTCCCTGTTGACTCAGATAGTAAAGAATCCTCTTGCAATGCAGGAGACCTGAGTTTGATCCCTAGGTTGGGAAGATCCCCTGTAGGAGGGAAAGGCTACCCACTCCAGTATTCTTGCCTGTAGAATCTCATGTACAGAGGAGCTTGGTGGGCTACAGTCCATGGGGTCACAGAGTCAGACACAATTTAGCATATATATATCCCTGTATGTTTTCCTGCTTATTTTTATTACATAAATAATACATGAATACATTGTTTTTGTCAAAGATGCAATCAATAGAGACCTCCTATCTTAACTTCCTCTCTAATCCTACCTCCCACCATTAATGATTTGGTGTGAAACCTTCCAGGTTTTATGTAAACATTTAAGTAAATGAAACTCAATGTAGTTAAATCTAGTATATGATGCATAGCTTTTCTAATGATTATAACCATCCTCTCTGGATGGACATCTTGATGATTCCAGTTTTTTTCTTTTCAGAAATAGCGCACGTCTATGTATAGGCCCCAGCCTGTAGGAATGCCTGTTTCCTTGGACAGATACTTAGCAAGGAAACATACGGGTCTAAAGACCTTTATGTTGGAAGTTCTGATCGGTCCCACCGAATTGTCTTCCAAAATGACCTATATGCTTTACCCTGCCACCAGTAGCAATGGAGAGCCCTGATTTCTGTGTCTCCTCATCCTGGTTAAATACCAGCATTCTTTGTACATTTTTTTGGAGTTGCAGACAAAGACATTCTGTGAGTTGTCACGTCCTTCCCTGGTGAAAGATGCAGGGAATGGTGTACTGATGATGCAGATCAGCATACTTTCAGTTATTTAAATTGCCGAGTCTGAATTGTTTTTGCAGACAAGCACTCCTTTTACAACATGTTAGATTCCATCAGCCCCTAAGGGATGGGGGTGACCCCCCAGGGGATGTTTTTGGTTCTCGTAATTGGAGAGAGGGCACTGCTGGCATCCCATGTGGGGAGCCCAAGGATATTGCTTAACAACCCACAATACCCAGGACAGTCCCCCCAGCAAAGACTCAGATGGCCCAGAGTTTCTTGCTGCCTTCAGGAAATCTGACTCTTGGGCTTCTTATCTTGCTCCGAAATCCCTACTGTATGTGGCAAGAGCCAAGGGCAAGTCTTCCACTGACTCAAGGCATTAGCCTGTTCCAGCCATGCTGGCCCCCTCGGTGTTCCTCTTACACATTGGGCCTAACACCTGTCAGGCACACTCCTGATTTAGTGCTAGAGGTTGGCACAGTAATGACCCCCTGAGATATCCACATCCTAATCCCCAGAACCCGTGGCTCTGTTGCCTTCCTTGGCAGAAGGAGCTTTGCAGATGGCCTCAAGTTAGAGATCTGGGGGTGGGGAGATGATGCTGGATCACCTTGATGGTGGCTGTTTAGTCGCTCAGTCATGTCCGACTCTTTGCAACCCCATGGACTGTAGCTCACCAGGCTTCTCTGTCCATGAGATTCTTCAGGCAAGAATACTGGAGTGGGTTGCCATGCCCTTCTTCAGGGGGTTTTCCCGACCCAGGGTTCGAACCCAGGTCTCCCACATTGCAGGCAGATTCTTTATCATCTGAACCACCAGGGATTACCTTGATAGGCTCAGTGTAATCCCAAGGGTCCTTAGAAGAGGGAGAAGCAGAGAAGGAGATGTGAGGATGGATGCAGAGTTCAGAGTGATGCAGGCCTGTGAGCCAAGGAAAGTGAGCAGCCCTGAGAAACCGCTGCAAAATAGATTCTTCCCTTGAGCCCCCCGAATAATCACAACCCTGTCACTCGTTGTTGATTTCTGTCACCTGGAACTGTAAGGTTCTATGGCCATACCACCCCGAATGTGCCCGATCTCATCTGATCTCGGAAGCTAAGCAGAGTCGGGCCTAGTTAGTACTTGGATGGGACTGTAAGGTAATGATGTGTGTTTTTGTAAGCCTCCCAAGTTTGTGGTCATTTGTTACAGAAACGAAAGACAACTAACACAGTACCCTTGGCCCCTGCTGTTTCCTCTGCCTGCGATGGGATGCATGGCCTCAATGGGTCACATGGCCTCTGCTCTCCTTCCGTTCACTGTCAGAGACACTTTTCTCATCATTCTGAATAAAAGATTACTCCCATCCACCACCCCATCACCTTGATTCTCCCAGCAAATGTAACCAGCTAACCTGCTCTATACTTTATGCATGTGCATGTTAAGTCTCTTCAGTCATGTCCAACTCTTTGGGATCCCATGGGCTGCAGCCTGCCAGGCTCCTCTGTCCATGGGATTTTCCAGGCAAGAATACTGGAATGGGTTGCCATGCCCTCCTCCCCAGGATCTTCCCAAACCAGGGATCGAACCTGCATCTCTTGTGTCTTCTGCATTGGCAGGTGGGTTCTTTACCACTTGCACCACCTGGGGAGCCCATACTTTATGTGTTTGCTTTTTTTATTGTTTGTTTTTCCCTGCAAGAATGGAAACCTCATGAGGGCAGAAATTTTTGTCCAGTTAGCTCATGACTAATTCCAACAACTAAGTGTCTGGTGAATATTTACTGAAAGAGTAAACAGGGGTCCCCTTAGATCACATGTACTCTTTGGCCTTCACCCCTATGAACAGGCGGGTGGAAG